ACTGTGTGCACACTCCAGGAGAAAAAGAGCTACATGCTAAACCTGACAAGCTCAGAGGAGGCCAGCATGGCAAGTCTTACAAACTCAGAGAATAAAAATAACCACATAGGATGAACTGAACATAAAAATTCCTAACTACGCAGTGGTTCTCAACCTTCCTCATGCTGCGACCTTTTAATACAGTTCCTCATGTTGTGGTGACCCCCAACCATAAAATTATTTTCATTGCTACTTCCTAACTGTAATTTTTCTACTGTTATGAATCGTCATGTAAATATCTGATATGCAGGATGGTCTTAGGCGACCCCTGTGAAAGGGTTGCTCGACCGCCAAAGGGGTCGCGACCCACAGGTTGAGAACCACTGCCTTAGAGAGTAGATACTCCTGTGTCCCAGTCGCTCATGTCATATCTTCTTAGACATCTATTTTTCATACAAGTCTTTTTACCCCCTTCACTGTTATGTTAACTGTAAGCCTCACAACAAGGTGTCTTTCTTACTCACTCTCCGTGCCCATCTGCGTCACAGGGTCTCTGCTGCACATTGACCTCCTTCAGAGTCTAGGCAACAGCCCTTGTCAGTCGGGGTGTCTGATTGTCCCAGCAGGGGGAGAGAATGAGGCCAATCCCACTGGCATAAAGGCTTCTACCTGGAAGGGGCCGGTGTCGCCTCCACTCACATCAAAAGCAAGTCACCTGGTCATTCCCACCCTCGCAGGGGTAGAGGAGGCCACCAGTCATGTGCCCAGGAGAGCTGGGATGCGGTGGACAACTCTGGTGACCACCTTCCTCCCTTCAGTGTGTGTCACTGATATGCAGGGGAGCAGGCGTTCTGCTGAATTTGAAAGTATATGTATACAACAGCGTGTCTCACCCCATCTCTAAAATGAGGATATAATAATAATACCAACTTCATAAGGTGGTTTTAGGGCTTGAATGAATTAATATCTGTTAAGTACTTAACATAATGACTTCAGTAAGAGCTAACTAAATGTTATCTATGATGAAGATGATGGTGATGATGACATTGAAACGTCAATGTTATAGAAAAAAACGCAGGTCAATGCACATCCAACATACAAAGCTCTTTATTAATCAAGGGCATCAGGAAAAGATTGACCTGGAATGGCAGGCTGCTCAGAATTTTCATTCAGAATGAATGGACTTACAGTAGGTAGCTTCTTCATATTATACATGAGCAACAGTACAGGAAAATGTGTTTTTATGCACATGTTAAGTTTTCTGCCTTATTATTGCTGTTAGGAATCTAGACATTTTATCAAAATCATGGTGTTACAAACGGTTTTTCTCACATTTGTTAGCATAACACTTGTTCCTGCAGGGTCACTGTGAGCATAATTGCAGCTGATTCTGATGAAAAGCAAATATGTGAATGCAGTGCCTGTAAGTTGGAAAGAAATGTTTCTGCTTAGCCCCATGGCTTCTAATTTAAAAGCACATAGAGCACAGAGGACGCCTTGCAGAGTGAGAACTCCTGCAAACTCTTTGGTATTCAGAGCTCATCTGTCTGTGCCGTGTGGCGCTTGTGTCGCATAATGTTTTAGTCTTTTGGGTGGAGGGAGTGAATACATAGCCAATCTGTCTTACAAGACATAAAAGTATCCTTCCAAATAGGAGGACTTTTTTTAAGAGAATTCGAAGCCTCACAAGGTCTGGAGCAATGTACCTCAGCTTCCTGATCGTCACTGGTGCCTAAAAACCATAAACTGCCAAATATTGTTCCAATGTCACCTCCCAGTGAGACCTTACCTGATACACGGTTTGAAGTTGCAGCTCTGGCTTCCTTGCCATCTTCATTTTTCTCCCTAATGTCTGTCACCATCTGAGTACTAGACAGTTTACTGTTTATTGTTTTGTTTCCTCCCCGGAGATTGTGAGCTCCAAGAGGGCAGGAAATCTTGTTTGTTTTGTTAACTATGATACGCACAGCCTGAGAACAATGCATAATATAATAAATGT